AATGGCGTCAGCAGGAGCAGGAAAAAAAAAGCATTTGAAGTGAATAGCGTTGTCTGTAGCGGTACTTCGCGGGGGAAAAGGAAAGATCGAGCGTTCGACAATGGACGCACTTGCGGACTTTTGCTGCTTTGTTTTAATTGTGGCGTTCGGTTTGGCCCTGTTGTTGTCGGTGGCGGGTTTCGGACACGGCCTGTAATGATTGCGGCAGTAAAAGGTCGCAGCGGCTTACCCGATAGTAACCTACCGATAGTAATTCGTGTGATGTGGCATCAGTGAGCGGCAAAGGCATCAGGGTGCAGATAGCAGTGAGCGCAACGGCAACTAGACATAACCTAATTGCGTTGAGTACATTGGCGGTGCACGGCACATGCGCGAAAGATTCTCGCTCTTTCTCTCTCTCTCTCTCTCTCTCTTTCCGCTATCGTAGACCCAAAACGTTCGCCGGACGCCTGAGCCAGGTGCAGCTTGGGTCTATTCTGCGACGTCACGCGACAAAGAACGCAGTAGGCCGCTTGCTGGAGTGTTCGATGTAGTGGGTCTATGGACGAAATAGGTAGCAGCAACAACAACAACAACAACAACAACAACACTCTGTAGTATAAGCAGTACAAATAATCGCGTGTGACTGTCAGTCGTCTAGTTCGAATCAGGCGATCCGAAAGATCGTCAGTTTCCAAAAGTTGGTGTGCGCCGTCTCGAACAACGTCTATCGAGTTGTATAAGAATAGGAGAAAATGGTCTAATCCAGTAGCTCGACTATTTGACGTTGTTTGTAGGTGTGCGTATGCTCACATAGACCTTTGGCGCTTACTGAGGTCGCACAAACGTTGGCCATGTTTACCTACGGTTCAAAGAAGCAATTCTGGTTAAAACTGCGACACAATGTGCTGCGACTCTAGTTTCAGTTATCTAAGATTGACGAAGGGGTAGATTATTGCCGGGAGTCTGCGCTAACCATCGATTATCTAACGGCCGTGTACTTACGGTGCGGAAGGCTGACATTACACAACGCATTCAAGTCTAAATTAAAAAAAAAAACAACTTTTCTAATTTGATGCTAACAAAACGTTCAGTGGCGTTTCTAAAAACGATTCTCGTCCGTAATATTTTCTGGTGTATTCAAACTGATCATGCAACAATTACTGACAACGCGATCTAGTGAACGCGAGCAGAATTTCTAACATCGTTCACCTGATACGCCCATCTAACATAGCTTCTGTCTCAATCTGCGTGACTTACGTGACTCGACGCAAGTCGAGAGACTAGAAAATCTGGCCTTGGCGAAGACAAATCACAATTCGCGCCGCTACCGCATCGGCGAGCAGCTATCCGCCGTCCGGCCCTTTGCCTCAGTCAGACGGTATCAGTCAGCGATGCCCCTACAGTCATCGGACCATTGCATGTTGATGTTCCATTTCGAAGCGACTTCCCCTTTCCACGCAGTTGCTACTGCGACCGGAGTGACGTTGCTGTCGTGTTTGGTACTGCTGCTGGCGCCGCCTGTGTTGGTCACCGACGTGATCGTTGGCAGAGCTGCGCAAGGGCCTTGGAGGCGATTGCGACCCGCATCGTGTCTTCCAACACAACATTGCGGTCAGTCTGGCCGCCCGTCTCTGAGCACCAATGGAGTTGTCTGGCTATTGACAGAGACAGTGAGCGTCGGTCTGACCAGTCTCTGGCAGCGGCTACAGTTTCAACAACGGAAAGCGAATCGGACCTAGCCGTCAACCTTTCTGCGTGTTTGGTTGTACGTACGTTGAGAGCATGTATCAGACGGCGTTCGTGCGCGTTCTCGTTGTACATTACGCTAGAATATTAATGCAGACGAAAATGCAGAAAGGACTGGGAAAGCCCCAATTGTTACAGGCAGCTAACAGATCTACATAGATATCTAACAACATCTATTCTAACAGCAACTACGTCAGATCTTAACGCAGTATGGACGAGCAAACTACCAGCCAGTAACTATGTCTAGCCATACATAACAAAAGCTAGTAATAATAAGATAGATAGCACAAACGCAGGAACGAGACCTACTGTTGCTTATCCTACTACCCCCTTTTACAGTTTCGTCTTTTGGACAAGAAAAACACAGCTGTAAACGTTGTTTTTGTTTGACGATGCTGATGGTCACTGCTGTCGGCCTGACAGCGTCGTTGGTAGAGATTGCCACGTTGCCACCGTAACGTTCTTCTCGCTGCACAGAAGATGTAGGCAACATTTCGGAGCAGACGCATTCGATAAACCATAGTTGAATGGTCCAAGTGACAGGCCGACGGTCCAGTGCAATAGAACTAACGGGAAGCAGGAAGAGAGAAGATTTCTAAACGAATCCTGTCCGAGTTGACAGTTGTAAAAAGACCACTAGCGCGTCTGCGTTAGTGTGAGTCAGTGTGTCCTAATCGGACTTCATAGCTTCTGGCCTCTTTTTGCTGCTTGACGATCGGCTATCGGCCTGCAAGGCAAGCCCTTAAATGACTATTGGAGAAGCAACAGTGATTCGTGGTAATGTTGTACCAAGCGTAGTAGAACTTGCTAGCGCGACGGCACTGCCAGTAGCATTCAAGTTTGCTCCATTTATTGTCGATTGAATGGCTTTACGAACGATACCATTATTTGCGGCGTTGAGTGATTCGAACACGTTCGGTATAATAGCAACAAAGTAGAAACAATATGGACTATGTATTTTTAGATGGCAAAAGTATAATATTAGTATTAATTTTCAACATGATGTATTTTTTTCATTATCACATAAGATTCTATTCGATGAAGGCAATAGTAGTCCTGTACAAATAATTTCCTAGCGCTGAGTTAGTGTCGCTAGTGTCTTACACAGAAGACACAAAAAGTTCAAAGAAAAAAAAAACAATTCGTGCACCGGATACGTATGTTTCTCGATCTCAAATACCCTAGTGAAACTAAGAACGACTCACCTAGAACGTACCTCAAATGCCCCCACCTGCATGTAGTATTTCCATGTTTTTCGAACTTGATGACTTTGATTGTTAGCTGTCTTGAGCTGAATAATGCCGCCCTCTGAGCTGAACGATAAACGGGGACTGTAGTAAGCGGACAAACTAGATGAAAATGAATGTACTTGTAATCGCCCGAAGCTAAACTCTTCTTGGCCGTCGTCGTAACATTATATAGCATGTTGCCACGAGAGGCTTCGTATATTTCTAGGTAAACAGGCAAGTTGAAGTTGAGAGGTCGCAACCAGAAAACAACCTTCAATAACCTTCGATCGATACTGACCGAAGTTCAGGTCATAGCGTGCGCAACGAAGGCATGGCACAGGAAAGATATTTAAACCTGTGCACGTTCTGTGCACAGCGGATCTGGAAAACTTGAAACTAGACATTGTGCGACTTTATTTTATCCATATATTTATTATTAAATATTTTGCTATTATGCTGAAGGTCCTTCCGAAAAATAGTATCATAGATCTAATTTAATTACCTCGCGTACACACTTCTGGTATAGAAAGTAGAAAAAAATGGGCAAGCTTGCTTTTACCTATTTAGAAAGAAGTGTTACAATCCCACAAATAACTACTAGAGACTCAATAATAGACTTGTCCGGCTGCATTTTTGCTTAATTTTTCTGTCGCGGTCTAATTTTTACGTAAATTCTGAGTAGATCACGCAGGCTGAATGGTTATATGCAACGGCAACAAACTGTCAAAGTGTTCACGATGAAATAACAGAAGAGAATTGTTTGCTCTAGGCACTTTCAACGCAGGATGATGCTGGTTGTCCTGATACGTCCATAATAGCCACGTGTGGTTTTTACAAGATAAGGGAGGTTATTGATGCGTAATGGACAAAGCGTTGATCTTTCCCCTTGCGGACTACGATTCAGACTACAACGGCGTTAGCACATCACGCCGCCACGTAGAACGTCTGCTCGTTAGAAGGCCTGTTGAAGCGTGCTTCGATGCCTCTACTGGTGTTCAACACCGTAGAAAGAACCATGCTGCTATCGATGCGTTTTTCAATATTAAACGAAATCGTCCATTGAACTTTAAAATTTTAGTGCGATTTAATTGACAGTTGTTCATGACTAACATGTTACTGATACAAAGATGACGGCCCTGTGTTTTTAGGGTAATTTATATCTGGCAAATGTTTGCTAGGTTATTTTCAAATTTGGCGCCAATTGCTAAGCCTTTTTGTTGGTAGTACATCAAGGTGCAACTGGTGGAAACGCCTGGTGGACATACAATAATGAAAATAAAGAATTGCTTTTACAGTAAGCAGGTTCTATTCATGCAAGTTCGGTGTTCTTCATAAATAATCATGATGATGATGATGATGATGATGATAATTAGGCGAGATAATTATCTCCAAGAGCTTAACGAAGCCAATGCAAGCGAAATCGGGTCGCCTCGCTATCCGTATACCCAGTCTGGTCGACAATAATCCGCATGCAGCTTCCTGCAATAACCTTTCCGCAAGACGCATTAAGTCACGTAAGTGAGACAGTAATGTCTGCGGGTGTCGATCACTTCAATAAACCTATGCCGTACGGCCAAGGCTGTTACATTGCAGGTTACTATCGCTAATGGAGTTTCCGTTGCGTGTTGGTGAGTGTCCAGCGTGCACATTTTCCGCTCGTCAATAGGTACGTAGCGTATAGAACAGATCGAAAGATCGAATCTGCTCTGGTCTATATAGGAGTTCCCGGCTGCTTACTCTCGTGAGTTCGTGCCGGGATTTTAGGAAGCCCTCAACTACTGAAAGGATTGCGAACGATGGGGGTGTAAACGCTACCTACAAGCGCATGCTTTTATTCTACATAGAGGCACATATATCTTTATTGGCAAATCGATACTGGAGTTAAACTACTACTTGGCCATAACATCGCTAATTAAGCTAGAAGTATTTAAAGGTAAAGCTAAAAGAAATTAAAATAATCCGACGAATGCATATTTCTTCTTAAGTTCTGATTTATTTAAATTCGATAATCTTGTTTTTTTTTTTTGCTTTTGTTTCTTTTAGATGGTCCTCGCGTAAACGACGCACCTCAATGTCGGATACAAGTGATTCTCGCAGCGATACCATGGACGACTGTATGGCCGCCATGGTGCTTATGAGACTTTCGGTATCACCGAAAAGCCCGCGCATTTCCGGATCCGACTCTGGTGAGTGCAGATGGTGAATGGTTATTATTTGGCAAGAGCACAAGTTATTTTTTTTGTTAGATCATCTAATTTGAGCCTGATAGATATTAACAGTACAAGCCCATTTACCGAAAAAGAATATTCGCTTCGAGCATTCAACCGTGTTAAATAGGTTCTTGGCATCTTTATTCCATCAGGCATCGTGGAAGGCCTTCGATCTTTTCTGTCTACTGGGGGCGCGCATTGGATCAATGTTATTTGATTGTATAGGTTCATTGCAAACTATGCCTCATGCATGGCTTACATGCTACGATGTACATAGGAATTAGTTTGCGTACATACACAAACCAGCAACGCAAGGAAGTTTCAGAAGCGAACCCAACACGATCCAAAGGGCTTTTTCAAAACTGCCTTAGCTTGCGACTTCAGTGTGCGGTAGCAGTTCTTCTTCTATGCGTGTATAAGCATATATGGGTGTATGTATGTATATACCCATGTATATCGCTAGTTAACACGCACTTACACATGTTTATACACGCGGACATACGACCTCATAAACTGGATAACGCAGTGGAACTTTTTGGCGAAGAACTTTATACAACATATATCCTGCGTGCCCATCTCTAGGAAAAAACAATACAGCTCTCAAAACATGGTATGTTGACGCGGACGTCACAGGAAATGGAAACTGCTCTGGATCATTGCGGATACAGAAGCGTTCGGCTTGCAATTTTTACATGTTACCCTTGTACCAAGCTGAAGGGTACCTGGCGCAACAAGGATCTCGTCCTTGGATAAGATACCTAATACGTCAAGAGCTGCGAGCGCTCTTGAGGCAGCGTAGTATCTTGAGGCCGTTTATTTGATCATCGTCCTACCAGTTTCGTCTTGTTTTCGATACTCTCCTCTTCGCGTTTTGCCTTTTTCGTCTCATCTCAGTGCTGTCATTTCAGACGTCAACTATGAGGCGTCACTTAGCCAATTAGCCAGCCAAAGTTGCAACGATATGACTGCTGAACGATTTGTCCTCGTGGACGACCTATTTATGGTTTGCATTATGACAGTGTGACGTTCTCGGGATCTTTCATGTATAATATGGCAATTGCAACGATTTCTTTGAGCGAAGAGAAAGTTCTGTCGTCTCATCGTCGTAATCGTTGGTAAGCATCTTGTACTTGTCGAAGCTAGCCAACGATCGAATAGACCGAGCAAAATCTGCCTACGGATCGTCCCTAAAAGAAGTACATGCCATTCTCGCTTCTTCTGTTTTGCTCCCGAACCTTATGCCCTAGTGCGCTTCTGTAGAAACGAGCACTGCCGCGATATACAAACGCCTTCGTGTGCCCGACTCTGTGCGGTGGCTGACTAGTCGCGATCAACGCTGCCACCCGCCGACGCTGGTGCTGCTAATGTTCTACTTACACCATGAAGGGTCCCTCCTCCGCTGTTCTCAACCAAGCATCTCCCTCTGACCTCCTCTTTGCCTGTATGTATCTGTTTCGGTATGCTTGAACCAGCACATGTTTACCCACTAGGTCAGTTGGCCTTCTAGCCTATCTAGCTTGGCCTGCGGCTAGCCTAGGCAGTGCTTCAATCTTCTATAACCGAGGCTTCAGGCCCTAGACCACCACACTTCCGATAGTCAGCTTCTCTAGGTCGCGGTTTTTTTCACTATGCCTCCTACCCCCCACCAGCAGGTGTTCCGTCGTTAACCCCCAATTTTTCCTGACACTGTCAGGATGCCATCCAACCACCCATCCAACAAACTCTTGAGGTTTTTCTAAGACTGGCATCCTGCCCGCTGCCCGAACGGTAACTCGTCTCTAAGCGCGGTAAAAGTTATTGGCTGATGGTGGGAGGGGAATATTTTGGCACAATAAGGGTCGTATATGGGAACTTCATAACCAGCCTTTGGGAGGCTACTTAGGGGTGACTCAGTAAACGTTAGTCCGTGGCTACTAATCGGGTGCCTCTGTCACCGCTGTTTAGTTCGTTCTGTGACTCTAATTCGTTGGCAGTAAAGTGGGTTGCCATCAGCATAGCCAGGACCGGCGCCGCCTTTTGGTGCTATACACACCACCCTGACAGCACACAGCGTTTCATGGGACTGTTAACTGTGGGGTTAGCTCTGACCGTCTGTGTATGGTGCGTTTTTGTGTCCGTGTGTGTGAGTATCTGCTTGTGGGACCGCTCTATTCGGCTTTCCGGTGCGTTCCGCTCATCTCGGTGCTTTGAAACTAACCCATAAAGAAATGGTATTCTGCAAGAACGGGGAATAGAAGGCCTTTCTGTCTTTGGAAGACAGATTGGTCCTCTGAGCCTCAATGGACCGGCAGTGGCGCCGGCCCAATCATCGTTATATAGGACTTTCAAGGTTCGTAGTGGAAAGAAGCCGACCGGCAGCGACAGCCCCTGAGGAAGAAAGCTACTCTAGGAAATATGGTAGCGGCGTTTCGTTTTGCGTTTTGCTCGGTTGGGTGAGTTGCGGGTTTGCTCTCGAGGAATTTAAAGGGACCGGCCCTCTTCCGTCAGGCAAGCTTGCAACAGGGGCAGTGCGGCCGACAAGAACTCCAGTAGCAGTCACTGCCAGACGTCGCAGATAATGCTGCACCCCAGCAGTCAGTTAGCTCGGTCGTTCGCTGCGAGAAGTTCGCCGCTAGTCTGAGCAGTAGTCGACAGCGTACGTGTTTGTGCGGAGAACCAAAGCCCCCGTTCGCTTTACCCCTTCCCTGTCTCCGCCGAAACGACGAATAGCCTCATACGCGCACACCCTATCTACATTTTGGCTGAGAACTGGCTTGCTCTGTGTGAAGCAGAATTAACGTAGGGAACGTGTGATAGCCGTGAGGCCGTTCCGTCCGGCGTTTTTGCTGTAGCATACATCAATTTCAGCAGCCCGTCCTTTTACCCTCGTTACCGTTACTGCGACCAGCTAGTGAGTTGACCTTGGCTCAGATGGGGAAACTGGTAACAGACATACGCGCTGGGGAGCCAGACAGAAAAAAAAGCGGGACGGTCCGTTTATTCGCTAGCTTCAATGAGCAGTTCGTGTAGCTACTATTCGACAAAATGCTTTCCATATCTTGAAGACTCACTCACAGATTCTTCTCGTATGACTGTATTGTTGCTATGATAATGTTTCTACAGCTAGCTAATGTATGTTCGTTGTTGTGTGAAAAATTAGGATATTATGTTAGTGCTTGTTTTGAGAATCATATATTTTGATAGTCGTCAGCTTTTCAATTGTATAAAGCCAATTTTAATTGTTTTTGAAATGATAACAGTTTGACCTTGGAGTTCACCTTTGAGAATTCGTGCAACAATATATTGAGGCTCCTGGTCTTCGCTTTTTATTAAAAGCGAAAAAAAGATTTTATTAAATCTTTATGCCTTTCATTCAATGTTGTTGCGCCTGCTGTTCTGGTCTACGATCGACAGTGTCGACAAGACGGTTGTTCTTATCAACCAACCTTACAACGCCCCATGTCCTTGGCTCTTTTCGGACCTGGACATACGCAGGGAAACGCCTCCGTTTCTATTTTTTCGATCTCGTTGTGCTGTTTTGTATTGTTTATCCCATCAAGCAGACTCAGCTTTGTCTGCTACGCTCTCAGCAACGAATGGTCGAAAGCTTTTGCTTGGCCTCGTGCGGTTAAGCGAAAGACGCTCCGTAGGTGCGGGGCAGCGAGACGTTTTTCGGCGTTTTCGACTAACAGACACGCAGTAAAACGAGCCTTGTTGGCTTGGCCTTGGTTACGCTGTGTCAGGCCATCCGTTTCGGTACTCCGCTTCAGGTTTCCGTTATTCCATCTCCCCACTGGGCCAACCGTTCCTTCTCCACTTGTCTGCTTTCAGAATTCCCTCTTCTATTGCTGCTGGCTTTCAACTGACTTTCGGGTTTTCGATTTAGCTACATGTCGTGTGCACTCTTTGAACTGCTGTGGGTAGTGCCGCGGCGATACCAGCACCTGAAGCGTTCACGGACGCCAAAATCGGCGCTGCCGCTCACTTTCTGGCAAGACACACTGACAAATACATACATACACACATACGCCCCAGACTCGTTGTACTCTTTGTGGAAGTGGAGAGCCGTGTCTGGGAGAGGGTTACTTCCTCCGGGATGCAGTGAGCAGTGTACAGGCACGCGAAACGAATGAATGAGCGAGCGAGCGAGTGAGTGAGTGAGTGAGATAGGCGGCCGGTTGCCCACTCGGTGGCTGTGGCGGGCGGCAGCGGCCGAACTAGGTCATGGCCTTCCGCTCACGCACTACGGTAGGTAGGAAAATAGGGGGAAGCAGACAGGCAGGCACTAAGACCGAGCAGGCAAGGACTGTTGGGAAACTGGCAGGGAAACTTTACTGGCTGATGCCTCTTCTTCACTGCTCGCTGGCGCCGGTACCCCTCCTGCTGCCCTCACAGTCGAAGCCGGGGCAACCAGTCAGCCCATCGGAGTTTGTGATAATACCTCCCACTCCGCGAGTCGTGCGTGCAGACTCTTCCGCTCTACTACCTGCACCCTGCGTCCGAGAGGGCGACGACAACGACGTCCGCTGGCTGGAGTAAATCGGAGAGGGAAGACACGGCTGCGGCCGTACGGGGCTGGGGCAAAGACCTCTCTCTCGGAGAGTCTGCCGTGCTTTGCGTTAGCTTTCCTGAGGCCAGCTCTGGCTGACATGACATCAGTGGGGCATTGGGCCACTAGGTCCGGGGAAGTCCGATCCTCCTGTCTACCCCCATTCACCCTCTCACTTCGTTCTATTACGCAGTTTGCGCCTCCTTCTTGCTATTCATTGTTTCTACTGAAGGCTAGCGGATACTTGTTAACAAACAGCGTCAACTAACAGCGTTAGAGTAGGAGGTGTAAGTAAATAGCCGCTGCTGGTAGTGGTGCTCTGGTCGAGCAAGCATTTAGTTTCGAGTTAGCTCCAGCTTATGTAGTTTTAGTAATGCTAATATTAGTATAAGCGCACTCTATTAGAAAGAGTGTCCTCCGATTCGTTGCGGATAGTTCTATTAGGGAG